GGGAAGATTTGAGCCCTTACCGCCCTGCAGCCCTAAACCTTCCCGGAACTTGGGGTTTCGGTTTTAGGGTTTAGGGTTTAGGGTTTAGGGTTTAGGGTTTAGGGTTTTAGGGTTTAGGGTTTTAGGGTTTTGGCGGTTAGGGGTTAGGGTTTAGGGCCAGGGGTTTAGCCGTTTAGGGTTATTTAGGGTTTAGGGGTTTAGGGTTTAGTGGTTTAGGTTAGGGTTTAGTGTTTAGGTTGAGTACTGCCTTCGAATTGAAACGGTTTGTCTCAAGCCCTATAACGTCGAAGAGCCCAAAGAAACCCCCAAGCCTAAAACCCTAATTCCGGACCCTGAAGCCGAACATACAACCCCTAAACCCTAAACCCATAAACCCAAAACTCTGAACCCTACATAGCCTAAAGTCTAAGCCTTAAAGCCCTAGAGGCTAAGCCTTATAGTTGCAACAGCCCCGCACCATGACAACCCAACGAAGGCTCACGGCGAGCAGCGGAGCGTTCGGCTCTGATTCCACAGTGGATGAGAACTCGATGGTCAGCAGCCAGAGCCCACACGGCATAGGGGGCTGGAGAGGTTAGGGATTTTTTGCGCTTAGGGCTCAGAGTTTAGGGTTTAGGGTTTGGCCAAGGGTTTAGCGTTTCGGCTGCTTTAACGGTTCTTGGGGCGCTCTGGGTGCGTTTTCTGTTTCAAGGGGTTTCAGGGTCTCTCGGTGCTTCATGATTTTCGAGTATCGGGCTTCAGTGGCTTCAGAGTTTCGACTTTGGGGAACAGAGAGACTCGCGGCTGAATGACCACGAGGACCATACTGATAATCGCAAGTGATGCTTGAGTGTTGGGTGAAATGGCCGGTTACTTTAGGCCGGGAACCTTCGGGTGCCCAAACTCGTTGTTGGTCTTTCAGGCTTCAGTCACCGCCACCGCCACTACAGAACTGCCACGCAACAGCAGAATGGTCGTCGTGGCTGGAGCCGCAACTATGCAGCGTCATCAGAACATATTGTACGAAGACAAATGCAAGAGTCAACACCCAGAAGAAACAAAAGCAAACTGACGACAAACGCATGAATGGCGATGACAGAGCGAGAGCAAACGAAGACGTCGTGCATGTTATAGAGGAGAACAAATCGGCGGTATTTACACGTAGTGATGGGCACCGCAGATCAGGAGCCACATGTGGACGGCACCTGCGTGCGAGAACGTCACCTTTCGAGCCCTCTGTGGTGCTGGCGGGAGCTCGGGCTTCCTTATTTAGGGTTCACGGCTTCAGGGTTTTGGGTTTAGGGTTTAGGGTTTAGGGTTTAGGCTTCAGGGTTTACGGCTCAGGGCTACCAGAACAGTGTTGTTTTTTGGGAGGATCCCGGGATCATATACGCAAACTGCATCGTTTCGGGTGAGATCATCCTCTTCGTCTTGTCAGGATGTGCTTATATCAAAGGGGCTAACGAGTTGGGATCGGGCTCTAGGTACATCGTATTGAATGGGAACCTTGAGAACGCATGTCACCTATTCGTTACTCAGGCTTCTATACTATAGATAGGGTTTAGGGTTTAGGGTTTGGTTGCAGATTCAGATGTAGATCTATAGACTCACTACAGGTGTGCAGTTGCTTGTCAGGAATATAGTGAAATTTACGACCACGTTGTTTTGTGTTTAAACAATATCCATGCTACCAGGATGATCGATGAGATGTGGTACGCAGCGGAAGTCGCCAGCTCAGTGGTGGCATGCGACCTCTCAGCCACAACAACCACCAGTCCCACGACAACCCGAGGTGCGGCCCCTTAGAAACCTCTGTCTTACTGTCACACCCTTTATCCAGAGGCCCCTAAACCCGAAACCTGAACCCCTAAAAGACGCTTCGAAGAGTCCCGGAGGTGGCGTCTCCATCAACGCCGCAGACCATCCGCAGGGTTCGCTCGTGCTTCTTACGTCCTTCGTCCTTCTGTGGTAGGCGACGCTGCTGAGAGCTTGCATCTTTTCTTTGGGTCTTCAGGCCTAGGGTCTGGGTTCTATTGTAGATCCCTGAAAGAGTTCAGGTATATGCCCTGAACCCTAAACCCTCAGCCATATTTAAGTACGTCATAGAGCATGAGCTCGCATCTTTAAGTAGATTTGAACTCTAAGTGGGTTTAGACTTTGTATTTTTTGGTGTTTGGGCCTTCACCCCTCAAGACCTGACATCCCTATCCCTTCTAAACTCCCGAAGCGCAACGCTGTGCGAGTGTAGGGTGTAGGGATGAAGATCACCAAGTCCTGCAGTAAAGCCCAAAAAGTTGGAATCCGGGTTCAGGACAATTAGTGCTGGGATTCCCCACATCACTACTCTTAAGGCTTGAGGCTATTGCGTTTCCACTTTTGAGCTTCCACAATCAATGCAGTTTCAATTCCCCCTAAACCCTAAACCCTAAACCCTGAACCCTAAACCCTAAGCCCGGAGCCTTAAACACTAAACCCTAAACCCTAAACCCTAAAGCCTTAGGCCCTGAGCCCTCGGGGCTTAGGGTTGTTGGTTTAGGGCTCCGGGTTTAGGGTTTAGGGTTTAGTCCAGGTTTAGGGTTTAGGTGCCTATAAGCAATTACCAATACTATTTTGGGGGCCCCTTATTGTAACTATAGTATTATGGGCCCCAAAACCCTAGTCTAATTATTAAGGCCCCTATATTAGGCGGGTTTAGGCATCAGAGTTTTAGAGTTCGAGGGAGTGAAAACGATGTGTGTCGGATTTTGCAAGGAGCATGTTACTGCAACAGCAGTATCAGCAGGTACACGGGCAGACCGGTAGCCGAACTGACGACGTTTACGCGGACGAATAGATAAGATAGAAGCAGAACCCGCAACAGAATCAGGGAAAGACTACCTGCAACGGTCAGTGGACAAGTACTTACTCGCAATGGTCATAGCGATTGGCATTTGGTGTCATGCTCTTCCTAAACCCTAAACCCTAAACCCCTAAACTTGATGCTCCGGAGCTCTCTGTTTGCACTGCATGGAGAAAGTTGTTTTTTTCATGAGAGAGTGTGGCGTCGGCGAGACACGGAGCTCCTCAGTATAAGTATACTACACCCTAAACCCTTAACCCTAAACTCTGAAAGCTGAACCCTAAACCCTAAACCCTGAACCCTAAACCCTGAACCCTAAACCCTAAACCCTGAAGCCTAAACCCTGAGCCCTAAA